TGAGTTGGGGCCAAGAAAGGTAACTCTTTTATATGCAACAATGAATATTGAGATAGTCAGGACCATAGAAGTCATATGTATGTATGTATGTATGTATATATATATAGTCAAAGATATATAAAGAGATAAAATTCATCTAATTTTGTAAGTTTAATTACATGATATAAAAATTTTATTAATATCTCTTTTATAGGTTTTTCTCCCTTCAACATAGGTAAAGGAGTGTGTGTGTGTGTGTGTGTGTGTGTGTGTGTGTGTGTGTGTGTATGTGTGTGTTTTAGCTTCCCTTGGTGGGTTCAAGTGTGTGTATGTGTGTGTTTTAAAGGGATCTATACAAGTACTATTTTCACTTCTTTGCTTAAACTATCTACTTGAGTTCTCACATCTCTAGTGGGTTAGGGTTGTGAAGATAGGAGATTGACAAAGAAAATGATACTTAGTTTCTTGCTCTCTGGTGTTAACAATCTGGCATTATATGTTTGAGTGATGGAGGTTAGTAATTTGAATTCAGTGGATTCAGTAAATTTTATTTACTAGAACATAAGGGAATTAGGGACAGAGTTCTATTTTTCACTTTATATTCTAAAGATAATCAGCAAAGGACTAAAAGGATGACATGCAACTCATTCCTTAAACTCAAGACCCCAGTATCTTATATAAAAGAGTAATATTAAGGTCTTCTTAAGCAGAAATTATGAAATTAGTGAAAACCAAAAAGTGGAGAATTACAGTAAGGGAAACTGAAAGGCAGTTTTACGTTAGGGTTTTTAAGAGAGAGCATGTGCCAATGCTTCCATGAAAAGAAGAGCCCTACCCAGGGGAATAAGCTGTTTCTCCATCCCACCTTGTCTTTGCTGCTAACAAGCTAAGTGGTGTATGTGTATCTTCTTTTTGTTCCCACTCGAGGCTTTGGATAATCTAACGAATAGCTAAACAGAGTTGCTTGATCTAACCTTCCTGAAGTTACACAGAAATCCTTAGATCAGTTCAGAGATGGCACTTGCTGGAACTGATCCTTACAGCCAAAATGTGCAGTTGAAATTTTTTCCTCCTATCTTTTTCCCTCCCAGCCCTCATTTGTATTTTAGTTGCACATCAGTCCATCTGCTGTGATACCTGATGTCAGCTCGTTTTCACTTAGACTTAGCCCAGGAAAGTTTTCATGGAGGACGTTTGGGCTTCTGTAGTGTTGGGAAAGGCTCCAGTTTATGTTACCAAATCATTTATAAAACTTCCTGCTAATGGGCTCAGGAAGGCTAAATAGAAATGTGGAAGTCACAGGGGATTAGCTCCTGGAACAAGGTGACCTTAGGGATTTTGTTTCTAATTTCTAGGAGCTTAGTAAATGAATGTCTGCAATATTTTCTTTGCTGCTAAAGTTCTTTCTTCACTTTAAAGGGAATAACAAGAAATGTCTAAAATTACTCTAACTTCCTAAGTATTAGAATTTAGACAAATAATTTATATTGGCTCTTTTGAATGAAGAGTCAACATTGTAGCTAGGTGCATAAACAGCAGTTGAGAGGAAAAATAATTATTTTATCACTGGCAAAAATGTTCTAGTATATATACCAAATGAAAATAAGTTAAAAACTTCTTTAATCCAGCAGAGGGCAGAAGGGAGTTTTAGCTATGTCTTTACCTAAAACGAACGGATCTGAACTGTGATAATCCAAGGCAAAATTCAGTGGCACTTCTCTAGACAAAATATCTCTAGATTGTTAATGCAAAAGTTACAATGGTTGTATAGATAGGTCTTAGCTGGTGTTTCCAGAGCCAGTTTGCTCCTTTCCAGGACAAAAGGACATACAAAATTTTGAGTTATTTATGCCCAAGGGGTCAATAATGCGGTACTCAAATAACAGTACCACTTAATTGATTAAGATCTTATTCACTAACCACAATACAGTATTTCATGGTTTTTCTCATGTATATTTATGGCATTCCAATAGCTAGAATGAAGGAATATTTGAAATAATGAAGAGTAAGTTATTTCATTATCAATATATCTCTTTGGAAGTAATTGTACTTACATGTAGGTTCAGAAAATAATGAAAATGATTTTCACAACCTACTGTGGAATCTGAGAAATCAATTCTATCCTTTCATAGTTACAGCTAACACTCGGGATGGTGGTATTTGTTACATTATAAAGATGAAGTTAATATTAAAATATGACAATTGAGTAATGGATCTTTGTCTTGATGTTTATGAAAACTTTCCATCTGATTAAGTTTGGCTTTTAAAAAGCACTTTAAAAAGGAAAATAAATTTTCCATACTGGATTTATAGTAAAGCCTTTTTCTGCTTGGGTAGTATATAGTATAGTATGTTGGGTTTCTCAGGAAGCAGCCTCTGAAATGGAGTTAGAATATTTATTAAGGAGCATCCTTGGGCTCTACACCTGGGGAAGGGAGGGAAGGAAGTAGGATCAAGTGGAAGGAGGAGTCAGGTTTCCCTGCAGGCTCATCGTTAGCCTCAGCTGACCCTGCTGGGAACTCTGGGTGTGAACAGCCCTTCAGAGTCTCCTGAGCGGGGACACTCCCACACTGATCAGTTATGTGCACCCCCAACTCCCACCCCAGCCAGCCACAGGGCGTGACCTTGGTTAAGGTGGCATTTTGCCTTAAGGACTTGTACTTGAGCAGTTGGAATAGTCCTTTATTGAAGAGGGACCTGGATGGCTTATTACATATAGATAATGTGAGGAGCAGCCCAAGAAATCAGGTGTGCTAGATTTCCTTTCTGATAAATTATTGACTCTATAATGTTGGATAACTTATTGATTTTGATTTTTTTACAAAGAGAATGAATGATAACTTGCTATATTCCTATATGCATGTAAAGAAATGGTTCTAAATAAAATATATTTTCATTGTTAATGTGGTTTGGAAAATAGGATTCTAAAGAATGAAAAAGAGCACGTTTTTATAAATGAGTGTTAAATGCTAAAATATAATATATTAATAATTGTCGTAGTTCATTCAGGCTGTTATAACAAAGCACCATAGACTGAATAGCTTATAAACAACAGGAATTTATTTCTCACAGTTCTGGAGGCTGGGAATTCCAGTGTCATGGTGCTGGCAGATTCAGTGTCTGGTGAAGATCCCCTTCCTGGTTCATGGACAGCAGCCTTCTTGCTGTGCCCTCACGTGGTGGAAGGAGTGAGGAAGCTCTCTTAGGTCTTTTGTATAAGGACATTAATCCCAATCGTTGAGGGCTCCATCTTCATGCCTAATCACCTACCAAAGGCCCCACGTCCTAGTGCTATCACATTGGAAGTTAGAATTTCAACATATGAATAGAGGGGACAAGCATTCAGTCTATACCAATATGGTAACACAACACATATACATGGTTTATTTATTTGCTTTGGGATTGTCCTATAAACAATAAACTATGTTGATTCAAAGTATTAATAATTGCAATGATTAATGAATATTAGTTCTTAGTAGTTCTTTGTGATCTTTGGGGGAAAATTGTTAAATAAATCACAAAGAGTAATGCTGGTAGTTCATCAGATAACAAAGCACAAACAAGTATATAATAAAAACACAGGAGGCTGGGGTAAATGTGTATGTTGTTCGTGGAACAGTCATTTAAGTCTAGCCTTTATTTAAGTACCTGTGTTAATTCCATCTACCTAATAACTTCATACATTTGTTGTTTTATCATTTAGTCATAGCTTCAGTTGTGGGCCTACTGAATGAAGACCCTATGCCTATATAATACTAATACATATTTGAGAAATGGTTCTCATCTTGAAGGACTCACAGTCTTATCAAAAAATCACATTCATTAATACTGCCACTACTGTCATCAGAAACATACACAATTTAGGAAGAAATCGAGCTCATGGTTCAGGATATGAGTTTTCTAAAATTTAATTTTCTTTTGAAAGCTTCAATTTTATCATTGGCAATAAATATTATCAGTTGCTTTCTTGAAGCCAGGCTTATTTTGTTCATTTTTAAAGAAAATGTCTGCCAAATACCCAAGTCTGAATAGCCAGAATTCATCAGTTGTTCTTTAAAATAATAATGGTATTCCATGAACCAAGAAGCTAGTTCAGCTCACGACTCAGTGATATGAGTGCTTTTCCTGAAGACTGTCAGATTTCAGTCTGAGGCAAAGAGGCTTTGTGGTTACATGCCATTTCGTCACACAAGCTATTAGAAAGGTAGTCTTTATATTAGCTCAGAGGTTGAGATTTAATAAAATAAATGATTTTTCTTCTCCATCAAGGATTTTCTTAAGTGAAACTGGATTTTTTTTTTTTTAAACTGCTGTATGTGTCAGTAGTAAAGAATCTCCTGACTGCAAGTACAGTTTGGTGCCACCGTCTTGACTAGTGCTAAGTAAGGTACCAGCAGTTTTACTATCTATTGCTTTTGTGCCATCAATGCAAGTGTCAATACAGTTAAAAAGTCAAATAATGTGTTAGCATTATTATGAAAAGAGTTACGACCTCATTGCCCCTTGGAAGTGTCTGCTGCCCACATTGAGAACTGCTGGTACAGAGAAAAGTTTGAGGAGGAAGAGCCTGGAGGAGGGAGGTGGCTTTGGTAAGAGACCAAAAGGGCCTAAACTCATGAAGGCAGCACAGATGGGGAACAGGGAAGGAAGTGGGAAACCCTGGCAGAGGTTGTATAGGTAAGATTTGATAGTAAAAAGGGCAAGGAAGCTTTGAAACTTACTGAAATTTTTAGCCTGAGTGACTGAGTGGATGGATGACATGTGAGGTGATGACCAGGCAACCCTGGTTTACGATTGAAAAATAATATTGCTTTTCACTGTGAGAGAAAAATGTTATGTGGTTCTTCCACTTGGAAAAGGGTGGTTTCTAGCACTGGTGAGAAAGTGCTGTCAGCTGGGTCTGGGCAGCAGCCTGACATCTGGTTTTGTGCTGATAATCTTGGAAGGTCAGCGCATTTTATATTAATGCTTAAGACTCTGTCTGTGCTTCCTCTAATAGTGTCTTCTCTTTGTATTTGTAGGAATGGTGCAAAAGCTGGACCAAAAACTTCCAGTGGCTAATGAGTACCTGTTGCTCTCTGGTGGAGTCCGGGAAGGTGTGGTGGACCTGGACCTAGATGAGCTTAATGTCTATGCCCGGGGGACTGACTACGATATGGACTTCACCCTTTTGGTGCCGGCCCTCAAGCTGCATGACCGTAATCAGCCTGTGACACTTGATATGCGCCACTCAGCCTTGTGCCACTCCTGGCTGAGCCTTCGGCTCTTTGACGAAGGGACGATCAGTAAATGGAAAGACTGCTGCACCATCGTAGATCACATCAATGGTGCCACCAACTACTTCTTCTCCCCTACCAAAGTGGCCGACTGGTTCTATGACTCCATCAGCATTGTACTATCAGAGATACAGAAGAAACCCCAGCGGGGGATGCCAAAGGTAGAAAAGGTAGAAAAAAATGGGACCATCATCTCCATCATTCTGGGTGTAGGGAGCAGTCGCATGTTGTACGATATTGTCCCTGTGGTGTCTTTCAAAGGTTGGCCTGCAGTGGCCCAGAGCTGGCTCATGGAGAACCACTTTTGGGATGGGAAGATTACTGAGGAAGAGGTCATCAGTGGGTTTTACTTGGTGCCTGCTTGCTCCTACAAGGGTAAGAAGGACAATGAGTGGCGGCTGTCCTTTGCCAGGAGTGAGGTGCAGCTGAAGAAGTGTATCTCTAGCAGCCTCATGCAGGCCTATCAGGCCTGCAAAGCCATCATCATTAAACTCCTGTCCCGGCCCAAGGCTATCAGCCCCTATCACCTGCGGAGCATGATGCTCTGGGCCTGCGACAGACTTCCTGCCAGCTACTTGGCTCAAGAAGACTATGCAGCCCACTTTCTGCTGGGCCTCATTGATGACCTGCAACACTGTCTGGTCAACAAGATGTGTCCCAATTATTTCATCCCTCAGTGCAACATGCTGGAGCACCTGTCAGAGGAGACAGTCATGCTCCACGCCCGGAAGCTCTCCTCTGTACGCTCAGACCCGGCTGAGCACTTGCGCACCGCCATTGAGCACGTCAAGGCGGCCAACCGGCTGACACTGGAGCTCCAGAGGCGAGGTAGCACCACCAGCATCCCCTCCCCGCAGTCCGATGGAGGGGACCCCAACCAGCCTGATGACCGTTTGGCAAAAAAACTGCAGCAGCTCGTGACTGAGAACCCGGGAAAGTCAATCTCTGTCTTTATCAACCCTGATGATGTCACAAGGCCCCATTTCAGAATTGATGACAAATTTTTCTGAGTGTTTTGCTGACTTTTCCCCCTGGTTCTAAAACTCTCATAATATGTGTAGTGTGGTTTGTGATGCTTTCTGTTTTTTGCATATCCAGCCTCAATTGGATTTGTTAAAAACAAATTTTAAGTTTCCTGGTTCTGCAGGATGGTGCAGGCTCTGAAACAGTATATTACTATTTCATATTCTGCCTCTGATTTTGTTGTAGTTATTGTCACAAAGTTTTGTTTGTTGGTTGCTTTTTTTTTAAGGAGAACTTGAGCCATAGGTAAAAATGCCCATGAGTCCTCTTGCTTTTTTTCTGTTTCGCACTTTGTGCAAATTTGTTAATGTTTATGGGGAAACAGAACTCTTTGACAATTAAGAATTCTATTATGTTCTTTTTTGTCTTTCTTTTTTAATGAGCTTTCACGACTACTGATTTTTGAGAATCATATGAAGTGGGGAACTACCTGGCAGATTAGCTGGATTTATTTCTTTTGACCAGTGGCCAAAGTAGTTTACCCTCTTTCCACCAGACAATGTAAACTTTGAAAGTGAGAATGCTACGAATTGTGTTTTGGAGCAACTTCATTGAATGTAATTGTCCTCAAATCAGAGAACATTGGATGGTTTGGAGGGTGTGTTTGACAGTTTTCCAAACAGAATTAAGGTTTCCAAATGTTAGTTTAGCATATGTAATTATTTGAAGCCTTATTTAAATCCTATTAAAGAACATACCATTATAATTATTATTTGCACTAATGAAATCTTTGCCATTGTCAGAATTGCAAAGTGTGTTTCAATATAAATTAACATCCACTGTTGAAGTGCTATAGTTTTTTCATTAAGTCCATTTCGCTCTATCAATGGAATGATTCTTTGCATTTGTTTAGTTCTCCTTTAATTGTGGGGTCCTGTTTTGCCCTCTGTGATATTCATGGTTCCCGTCATACTAGAGAAGTTTTTAAAGCTTTATACCATTAATTGACTCTATCTAAAGCTGGGGAAAATGTATACTTGATAAAGTAGGTGTCTTTGTATTTATTTCTTTTGGGGTATGCTTTTTTGTAAAGTCTCTTTACTTCTCCTGAGAGTTTTGAGGAAAACTGGCAGGAAGAATTTATAATCCCCAAATAGAAGATCCCATGTCTGTTCAAAAGCAGATTTTGCTATAGAGCAGGAACCAGGAAATATCTGGATGGCAGGCTTGTTATAGAGGTGTCCTGTCTTCATGAATGAAATTACTTGCCAGGTTTAGATGCTGCAAGGCTTTGGTCCCTGTTTTGGTATGGACTCATGGCAAACCAGTATTTGAGGGATCAGGGGTCTGCTGATCTCTCAAAGCACGCCATGATGTCTACTAATGGAAAGGCCAAGCGACATCTTGGTGTTGGTCTTGAATGTCCAGACTCGTAGGTTGGACTTTGGCCAATTGAGATCAGATATGTGGTCTTGGGTTTTTGCATGGGAATTAATGTAATGCTTTTAAATGAAAATGAGATCATTCAACCATCTTAAGTCAAACACAATAATAATAAAAAGAAACATACTGGCCTTGAAATTTTGTTGTTGTTCATTTGTAATTTGGAATTGTTTTCTTATTAGTAATACTGACAGTAATTTTCAGTAAATACAGCCATGGGCTTGCTACTATCTTTGAGACCAGATATGCATACAGTGAACATCTAATATTCATTCTTCCTCTTTCCCCAATTTTTTTACTAGCATCTACTTATCTTCCATATAATCTTTGTCTTTCTCAGGAAATGACCTTTTCCCCAGTTCTTGACAGACACCCTGACTGGAAAAACGAATCCCCATGAACCATTTCCCTGGCCACAAACATTAAAGAGAGACACATGATGTAAACTGCTACAGTCAGGGACCTGCTCAGCATTCTGGACTGGAATGCTGCCACAGAAGCCTGCACTCTCCCTGGATATGGAAGAGGAAGCATTTGGCTTCTATTGCCATTAGCAGCTATCACACAGTCATGACTAGAGCCAGCTTTAGGATGAAGCTGACATTGGATGGCATTATGGAGAGCTGGGAAATAAAAACATGAGCCACCAATCCTCCCCCCCCCCATCCCCAATTTAAGGCCTCTCCTCCACTAGGCTTTCTAGTTAAATGAGTCAACACTTGGTTATTTTTGCCAGTTTGAATTGGGTTCAATTCATCAAAATATTTAAACTGATATGTCAAACTATTTCAGTATATTTAAACTATTGAAGTTGAAATGTATCTCTTTCTAGGGATAGATACCCAACTTATTCCAACTTATATTTTATCTAAGAGCTATGCTATCTGATTTAATTAATTCCAAAGAATATCATAGCCTCTATAACTAATAACTATGCACCTGCTAAAATCTGTTAAAATTTATTATACTTTGACCATTATGTTAAACTTTGTGGGTTAAAATAAATTGTTATAAAACACTGAAGTAGCAAGCATATCCAAATAGCTGTTGCTTTAAGGTCACCTATAAACTACTATAACTTATTTTGAATTGGTGTCTCAAATACAATTTGCAACATTTCCAATATCTTTAGTGCTGTGTTTTCAGGAAAATTTCATAACAGGAATGAAAAGGAACTAGTTTCCATGATCCTCTTGGCACATTTTTTTTCTTTTGCTACTTCAAGTTCTAGTGAAGAACACTCTAAAAACTCTTGGTTAAACTTCATAAAAAAGGTCCAGAGGCCCTGGGCACACTAGTCATTTAAAACTCCGTTTTTAAAAAATCCTGGAATTTGGAATCAATACTGTAATTTAGGACTCAGGCGTTGAGGGTGCATAGAGATGGGACATAGTTTTGACACATTTTCTTGTCTGAAACTTAAGCAAGTCATTGAATTACTAACCAGTCTGTGTCCATCTGAAGCCCAGAAGATTGATGACAATCACTTTTGTTTCAAGTACAATATAAAATGCCTTAAGGCTGGAGTCATAATTTTAACATTACTTATGGCTGATTTTTTTGATTGGGGGCATCTACAAGCTATTACTCAATAGGCTTTCGATTCTCTGATTAGACCTAGTTTCATCTATTTCAAGAGGAGATTAGTATCTGCCCTCTCCCTTTCTCTTCTGAAATTGAGGATCCAAAGATGCAAGTAAAGGTTGGTTTCAGAGTGGATGGAGCCAATCAGGACCAGACATTTTAAAAATAAGAATATCTCTTCAATTACTGTATGGAATTATTTCAGAGAAAATGAGAGGCAGGCATATATGGCTAATCTTACTTTTGGGTGGAGTTGTGAGTAAGTGTGAGGAGGAGGCTTCTGGGGCTAGATTAAGTGCTCCCAGTCACTTCTGCCCCACCCCCTCACACATTCATGCACGCGTGTACACACGTGCTTTCACATCATCAACTGGAGGTTTCTTTAGGGTCAATGTTTTGTAACAATTCCTTGGAGAATTAAGCCGCCTGGTCACAACTAAATGCCGGTTCTTTTGGATCAGATCATCACCTTGCTGAAAGCAGTTTCCTGACTCGGGGCTCAGCCTTTGATGGGAATGCTGGGAATGAAAAGAAGGCATGTGATTATCAACAGCGGTGGGACTCCTAGGACCTAGTGGCTTCCTGCAGCTTCAGAGTTCTGCAGTGGACTCTAGAGAGGTGCCTGAACTTCCATCCATCAGGAAACTCCCTCCAGAACCTCTTTCCTTGAGTCACTGAATGGGCTGTTGGTACAGCTATTTCAGTTACTGTCCGGGGATTATTAGGAGGCTGGGAAGGCATTTCACACTGCCCACAGTCTGATCTGGAGGGTGATCCTTTTTTTCATTAAATTGAGCACTACCTACTACTTACATTAAAGGAATGACAAGGATCATTAGTGTTTTTTAATTAAATTAATTTAAATTAATATCAGGTAAGTAGAAATGTATTTTTTAAATGATTACAGTGATACAATCAATGCTCCCTTCTTAGAATAGCTAATTTTAAAAATGCACCTCTTATGGTGTGATTTCATCAATAGGTAAACAAAGGATGTGTTATCTAAAATACACACTTTTAGAATAAATATCCACCAATGGAGAGTTATTTTGAACATGTCTACAATTCTACTTATGTTAATTAGCTGGAAAAATATCTTTTTTATTTTTTAAGAAAACAGATACATCTTACAACTCAAGCTGTACTAATTTAACTATGATAATTGTGTTTCTCGATGCCCATTTATAGTGCTATCAAGCAATAAATTCAAAAGCAGCTTGTTTCATAAACTACAACATTTCTTATATGACACTGAACTTTTTATATTGATTTAATGTGGTTTCTAAGTTTGAGTTGACAGTTTTCATCCACAGTTGGGTCCTGACAATCAGCAAACATCAGGGAAACCATATGACTGGGTCTGTGTGGTTGAGAATAAGCAAGAAATTTCAGAAAAGTCAAATATTACTCACAATGTAAAAATACTTGTTCAAAGATATTTAAAGATATATAGCCTTAATCTGGTATGGAAACCCGGGACCACTTTTCCTCTTTTCAGGATAAATGGACTCAACGTGACCTTAGTGTGGCTGCATTGATACGGTTTTCACTTGCCATTTTTCTGCTCCACCAATTAATCACAGAAGATATAAAAGGAGCTGAATATGGGTAGAGGCAAAAACTTCTTTGATTTTACATCCTGTTCTGTAAAATGCAGAGTAGCTGTTGTCTTCCTTTCTAGCTTTTACTATCTACTAATAATATTTCCTCAGTTTCCATAATAATTTCAATCTTTATAATTTACACATCTGGAGTATTCATTCTGACAATATTAGTTTTTAAAAATCTTACTAAATTGTGCCAACACGTTCAGTGGGACACGACAAACTTAGTGGACACCAGCTGGTACAGATCTTCCTGTTAGGTGAACCTATGTAAGTATCACAACACAGTAAGTCTAAAAAACTTCAAGACTCAGAAATTAGGTAACTTGTTCAAAGTTACACAGGTAAGTGGTGGAGCAGAGCCACAGTTTGAACGCATTTGTCTATTTCTCTTTTTCCAAAATTAAGAACTTTCTACTATATCACCCTGCCTCTGGTATTAGAATCTGTTCTTATTATTTAGGGTAAAATCTATATGTGCATCCATAGGGGTCCTGCATTCAGGTAACAGTACTTTGAGTAAACTTTCTTTCAGAACTTTTAATCAGCAGAATAGATCATTTAGAGAAAGTAAATTTTCTATCTCTGACAAATTCTAGCACAAGAGAGACAACCACTTATAGGAAAGTTTCTGGTTGGGGTAGGGAATTGGACCAGGTGACTACCATCATTTTAATTCTGAGCTCAGAGGAGTGTGCAGCAGAAGAGCTGTTACTATTAGAAAAATAGTACTCTTTTTAAGGATGTAGAGAGTTGTCTTTGAAAAGGAAAAAAAAAAAGTGTATATGGGGACTTAGTTACACTTAAGAATTAGCTGTAAATGAACGATAACTAACAACTTTAATGGATCTTTCAGCTGGCATTGATGTAAAAATGAAACACAAGTTAATATACTACCTTGTATTTTTAAAACACTATTTCTATGGTTTTGGTGTTTTTGTTTTTTGTTTGTTTGTTTTGTTTTGTTTTTGTAATGTGATGGTATTTTTTTACAAAACTCAAGGCATTTGTAGATCTTGGTAGACTTAAACGCACTATAAAATCTTACTGCTTACATTTTATAAATCTATGCATTTGCCATTTACATTTATAAATCTTTTTATAGAAATCAGAATCAAGCCAGCTTTCATAAACTGTCACCAAACTAAAGACTGTGAGGTGTGGTTTTAATCATGACCTAAATGATTGTCCCAAGGGACAAGATGACAGTCCTTGGTTATGATAATTGAACACATCTTGAAATAAACAGAAGTTTGTTTCTGACCCTTATTCCTTTTGGCCTGAACGCAGCCTACGCTTAGAGGACTAAAGCAAGTATCTTTCATGAGCCAAACTTATCCTTGTTTATGAGAACAAATAAATATAAAAAAGCTCTCCATTTCACAAGATACTGAGAATGATTAAAAATAAAACCAAACACTTCTGATCTTTTGTGGTGATTGGCAGGTACATTCTATAATAATTGTTGAAATTCACCAAATGACTGTCTTCTGAAGACGAATCTGTTGAGTAAAGAACATTCTTTAGTGGGCAGGTGAGGCCAGCCTGAGACAACCCTGGGCACCTGCAGAGAGGGCAGTAGACTAGGAGCTGGGCCACCTGGATTCAGTCAGTTCTGACATTAGCAACGTGACGTTGGGTAAATCCCTTCTCTTCTCTGGGCCTTGTTTGCACTCATCATTCATAATTTGAGGGGTGAGATGTGTGACTACTAAAGACCCCTTCATGAAGAGCTGTTGGCTGTAGAGGGAGAATAAACACCAAGACACAAGGAAAGATTAAACATTGACAATTTAGGACTGGTAAATGGGATGCGCAGACCCTGGCTGGGGCCCAGATGAACAGAGGTAGACGGAAGTGCCTGAGAGTTAGATAGGGTGGAATGATGCAAGGACATTGCTTCTTCTCATCCCAGTCTTGACTCCAGGTGGCGTCATCATTCTGAGAGCTCCCCAAGGTCAGTTTCATA